TTGTCGATATGGAAACATATGGGGAAATCTAGAACTGGGGAAATTTTCCCAAAAGCAATATTACCTAGACATAGGGATAGGAGGGTTGGTTGCCTTTAAGCTTCTGTGCGAATGTAATGCATAATTAATTGTTGGGGATACAAGACATTGTGATCTAGTAATTAAGAGTAGGCTATCTTCACCTGGACATCGGGTTTCAGGTAAATTAGAAAGTGGCATTAACAATAATGAAGAAGATGAATTCATAAATACATGAGAGTGGATAGGATAAGTCGAAAACCCCAACAACATAATCATTCCATATTTTATACACCAATCACCTGTACATTCTTCAAGTCAATTGATCAACACTTGCATTCATATTTATTTTTTGCATTATAAACACCATGATATTGTTTACAAGTCTTAATTAATCAAGAACCCACATGAATGTCTAGGTCATGAGTCTCTTGGGAACTGATACTTGGTCTTACCATTTATTATTACTTGATATGATTCAATACACTTGTCGGAGTGTTAATAGTTTACAGAGTTCTAGAGATCAGATTCATCGAAGTCAAAGGTGGAATCAGATTCTTCCAAGTGCTTTTATAAAGGTTAGCTTGCTTTTGGAAAAAAAAAAGGAAAAAGAAAATTGTTGAGTTTTGTTTGCTTGCGTAAGCATCGTGGATAAGGCAGGAGAGGAGGTGTGCGGTTGTAACGTCAACAGGGGTTTGGATGAACAAAAAGAGTGGAAGAAGGAAGGAGAGAAGCTAGTGAAGATTCAAGGAAGGAGACAGAGGAAGAGGAAGGGAGAGAAGCAGTGAAAGATTGACTCAGTGTCAGAAAAAGAAAAAATGATGTGGCACATCGTTAGCTAGCTCAGCCTAATTTTAAAGAGTCTGTTTTGGAGGATGAAAAGTTATAGTTTCCTTAAGGATAAAGATCAAAATATATCAAAGTTTGAAAAATGGACTAAAACTAAAATCGCTTGATAGTTGAGGGACTAAAAGCATATTTAACCCTAAAAAAAATATCTATTATATCAACCAAATCACTCAAACTTTCATAAACTTTACTTCTAAATTTATTAACTTTTATCTATAAATCCCTTAAAAAAATACTTTACTTCTATATCCATTAACTTTTATCTCTAAATCCCTTAAAAAAATATTTTATCACAAAATTCACTTAAATTCATTCATTCAGTCACGAGAGTTACTCCCTTGACCACCACACACAGCTCCATGCACATTCTCATTCCTTTTTTACCCTTCTGTAATATTTAATTTCTGGTTTTATTTTTTTACCAACAACCAACCACTTCACTAATTTATATGAATGTACCTCCACAACAGTCCACCACTTCCGCTTCCGCTTGAATGAAATTCTTCTCAATCTTCTTCTCCCTTATTGTTATTTTTATTTGTTGAAAGTGTGGTGGTGTAGTGTGGGGTTATTGTGGTGTGTTTGGTTGGAGATAACAAAGTTTCGTTTCATAGTAGTGAAAGAAGGTGCTCCATTACTATTGATTAGAGGAAGCTTGGTGCAAGAAGGTACAATGGTGGGAGATATGTGCAAAGTTTGAATATATAAGAACACCGTAACATATGTGAATATGTGTTGTATTCTTAAACGGATGTCAACATCCGTAGACAGATATTGATATCCGTTAAAGGACAAAGCACCACCACCGCACCACCACCGCAACACCACCGCAACACCACCGCAACACCACCGCAACACCAACACAACCAAAGAGACCAAAATGAAGAAGAAAAAAGTAATGAATTCCACACGGATATAGAGAATGCAGGGGAATAAACGGATATGGAGATGGAGAGAAAGAAAGAGAGTGAGAGTGGGGGATGGGGATGGGGCTGGGTGGCTGTGAGGAAAAATAAGAGGTAGTGAATTAGGGTTCTCATATGAAAATAAAAAGATAAATGGTTAAACTAAAAAAGGTAATTTTATAATTAAAAAAATTTTGAAGAGCTGTAGGTAGCAGTTAGGGTGGTGGAGGAAACTTATCTCTCTCAAATTTATCTCTCAAATAACAAATAACACAGCCCAAAAGTGCATCCCAAAAATGTACGAAACTTATCAAGTGTTACTCCCTCCACCGCCACATTTTCTCCCTCCACCTCCCCAATTCTATTACATATTTTTTGAATTACAAAACTAACATTTTATAATTACACAAATAACCTTTTTATTTTTTTAATCCTAATTATTTACTTTAACCCTAAAATCTATCTTTCTATCCCTTCTCACCCACCTCCCAACCCTTCAGATTCTCACCTAAACTCCATCAGATTTGTTTCTCATCTTCCATTTTTCCTCACAGTGTGGTGGTGCTTCAAGGTGCTGGTTCAGAGGCGTGAGAGGTTCAGAGACGTAAAAGTGCGTAACAAAACCCTAAAATATAAATCGTATAATCTTTAAACGGATGTGAGCATCTGTCAACGGATGTCAACATCCGTTTAAGGGAAAACGGATGTCAACATCCGTCGACGGATATCGACATCCGTTTCAGATCCAAACGGATACCCGACATCCGTTTTTGGCCTGGTTATCTTCTTCCTTTCTCCCAACACACGCACACAGCAAAAAAACGCATAGCACAGCACAACACAGATATATATATATATGCATTGCATTTAAAAAAAAATTAAAAATATCAGCACTAACCTTGTGAGGAAAAATGGAAGATGAGAAACAAATCTGATGGAGTTTAGGTGAGAATCTGAGGGGTTGGGAGGTGGGTGAGAAGGGGTAGAAAGATAGATTTTAGGGTTAAAGTAAATAATTAGAATTAAAAAATAAAAAAGTTATTTGTGTAATTATAAAAGGTTAGTTTTGTAATTTAAAAAATATGTAATAGAATTGGGGAGGTGGAGGGAGAAAATGTGGTGGTGGAGTGAGTAACACCCAAACTTATCAGATTGGAGCAGCCCAGCCCAAAGACAAGAAAAAACCTAAAACCAGTAGATACTTGAAATCACATGAAAAAATCTCACCTATGTTTTGTTTAACTACTTACATATTATAATTTAAAGAACTTTTGAATTATAATAACCTATCTAAAAGTTCTATAACACCAAGAATTTACAGATTAATTCAACTTTGTTAAACATCAAAGCTGATCTTACAAAATGAAATATATTTGAACTATAATAGACCCTCCGTCCAACTTTTCTTAGCAGTCTTTTAAGAAAAACACATTCCATAACATACATCCGAGCTTTTAAAACTAAGTAAAGAGCTTATTAGTTAACTCGCAAAATAATTATAGAACGTACTGCATCTACGTTTTCTTTAAATACAAGTTTGAGTATTTAGTCTTGTTCAATCAACCAAAAAGTAACTATGTTTTATAACTAAGCTAATTCTTTTAATCTCTTCAAATAGCATTAATTCTTAATTAAGAATTAGATTTTTAAGCACATTATAGAGCTTGTTTGATTGGTAGTACAAGTTCTAAAAGTATAATCAATATTAGGATTTTTCTTTTTTTAAAGTCACGTTCCAATCACATTCAAGATTTAAAATAAAATATTGAGACAGTATCGCCCTATTTGCTTTTGGGCAAAGAAACATAAGCAGTATATTGTTTGTTACTGAATATCTCAAATGTTTTTGATTTACAGAAGAAATAGAAAAATATGACAGTAATCTTTATGTGTAGAAACAATTAAATGATTTGGGACTTGGTGAGAATGAGAGCAGCCTAACCTACAAATATATTATTATTTACGGTTACGGTTCAGGGCATCCCAACCTTTGTATAACTTGACTTTATACAAGCATGATACACCACAATTTCTATCCTGCTCCCTGTACAGAGTCAGTCTCCCTAAAACTAACGCTAGTCCTACCACTTGTATCTAACTTCCTATTCCTATGCTCTATTGTCAGGATCAAAAAGGGCAAACACCTCCACCATTCCTTTAACTATCTACCAAGCCTGTTCCTGTACAAAACACCATCTATCTCCACCTTTGAACTTGGGGGAGGTGGTTGGAACCCAGTTGAATGCAGCAAAACTGAATCATGTGGGTCAAATATCACAAGAGGGAAAATATCTAGAGTGGGGAGAAGACGACAATGAAGGGGAAATCTTTGAGTCTGAATTTCTAAACGTGCCGCCTGAGCCGCGTCCCAAATCACCAAAAATATAATCAGCAAAGTCATCCGTACTGGTTGAATCACTCGTGCTATCTGTACTGCAAGAACCTTCGTCAGAATTGCTGCTTATAAGGGATGAATTATCACTTGATGAATCTTCTTCCAAAATCCTTCTCTGGCGGAGAAACTTTGAATAGATAGCATCAAAGGAAGGTGAACCATCTACAGAAGTCAAATTAACTCCAGCACCGGAAACAGTAGATAGTCGTCCCTTCACTACGGCAGTTTTTCCATTGAGTTTCCATTTTAAATCTGAAGATACTATACTGTTCCTGATTAATCTAGGGGCCCTAGGTGAGCACCTACCAGAAAGTTCAGAGAGTCAGGGAAGCATGAAATATGATATAATTAAAAGAAATCTAAGACGGTGACCAATAAGATATCAACCAAAAAATAAATCCATAATCAGAAGGGTTACCTTGCATAGAAAAGCATGTATGCTCCTTTTGCCAAGACGCTTTCCAATTCAACAGATGTCACCTACAAGACAAGTATGATTTCATGATTAAATGAGTTCTAAGCTACATCAGTGGAAAATAGATCAAAAATAGACTCTGTATCTTAATCCACAAACACAATGCAAGTACAAGATTAGTTTTCAATATAAGCAATACAATTGTATTTTTGACACAAATTTGTTTTCAATATAAATAATAGAATCACGGATAATGAGTTGTTTTTAAACAGATCATATAAATACACTAAGATTATGTACTTCAAACTTTATTCAAATATTGCTTATAACAAACTACAGATGGCAATTTCAGCTTATGATAACCAATGGGTAAGGGAAAGCATAAATCCACAATATATATAAGAACCATACAAGTATGCTCTCAGAAATTCAAATAAATGGAAACTTGACATACCACGCTATCATCGACCTTGAACCACCTGCTTTGAAAATTCTTCACATAGCATACATAGTGACCCGAAAAAGTAGTATTCATAGTATCCAGGTGAACAACTACCCCATATAGCCTGTATATAGCCAAATCACTAGTCCCACTTATAAAAGGTGCCAAGTCAAGTATTTCAGGAAACTGGATAGGTTTATTGAGCTTCCCAAATTTTCCTGACTGCAAAACAGCAAATATAATCTTCATACAAGACAGGTGGCAAAACCTT